GCAATTCAGCCTATGGCTGCAATGTATTTTATTTGATAATAAACTATCTATCTCTATCTATCTAACTATACAAATCATTACAGCATAAACATCACGAGCTTAAATGCTTGATGGTACAGTTTACTCGTATTTGTGCAGGGTTATTTTATTTATATTAATTTCAAATAACATGTCTAAGACCAGTTCAATCATTAATCACTCGTATCGTAACAGCAAAGACATAAATAGAGCTTTAAACCTTGTGAAGGTGTGATGGTACATCGCACCTCATTTATTGAGTGCGGGTCTACCGCGAATGGTGTGTGTGTTTGTAAGTACTTTGAGCATTCCAGAAGGAAAGCAATTCTTTATGGTTTTCAATCAAGCTTCGCACCACGAGAAGCAGAGAGCAAAGAGACCTAACTCGTTTTCACGGTTGCCTCGCTTTCATGCTTGTAGAGGAATACCGCAGACCGTCAAGTAACGCAAGCTTACACACTTTCGAAGTCGTCGACGGATAGATAGATAGATAGATAGGAAACCGAAACCTAGACTTGGTCTACCTACATAGCCCAAGTAAAAATGCCATGAACAACAAAAGCAGTTGGTTATAAAACTAAAACGAACACTCTCCTATGTTCAGTTAACTCCGAAAATGATTTGTAAGTGAAAATTTGACTAATGGCTGTATCTGTAACTCTTTCATTAACGGTTTCAAGCAAAGTAAAGATCAATTTCAATTAAAAATGATAACAGCACGAGGTAAGAGTATTTTAAGTACTGTTTTTAATGTTGCACGATGCTTTAACATTTTCCTTAAGAAAAAGTTGTATAAAACTTTCCTAAAAAAGAAAAGTTCAGTTAATAGAAATGTAAATGGCAAGCTAAAACAAAAGAGAAGGTTTGACTGGTCAATGCTACAAAAACAAATCTTACTTTGTGATATCATTAAAGAAAATACAATAACAGAGTGATTACCATAGTTACAACATCCAGACTTTGATTGAGAAAAGCTCTGTTTTTAAAATACCCAGATAGAAAAACTCTTTTTTTCCTCATAAACCCTCAAAGTAATATAGGAAGAATTTGGAAGGTTTTACAAGCATTGGAAAGCGAAAGAAAGGTCTCATAGTACAATATTAACAGACAAAGTGGTCATAAAAAAAATGGTAATTAACAAATAGATAATCCTTGACTATGTTCTGTTTTGTTGTAAAGCACTCAGGAAGCGGCAAGAACACGAAAGAATTGTAGAAAGACGTAGTCGAGTGTTTCTCCCCACTTTCTGAGTGCTCTAGCCGCTTCCTAAATGCTTCACAACGGAACAGAGCACAGTCAAGGCTTCTCTATTTGTTGCTATTAAAGAATACGTAAAACTCCCCATGCATTACTTTCAATATTCAATATAAAATTTATTTTCCAAGCCAGCTCTGCAATAAGGCAATAACAAGCCTTGTGAGAATGGTTCAAATCTGATTGGTTGAAGAAGACTTAAGCTGTCAAAAATGTCGAACCATTAAAGTTCACAAATAATCAAAGTTCACAAATAATCAAAGTTCACAAATAATCAAAGTCCACAATCTGCAATAGTTTACAAACTGAAATAGTTTGGCTGGTCGAATTTAACACGTTTGCCTGAAGTTTTTTGTAGTCTTTAAAATAGAACCTGAATATGAAACTTCAGTGAAATCCGGCCGAATTGTGGCTCATAATAAATCACAAGTTTTTTCACATGACAGTTAGAAAACAAACTGCTCAAGGTGTGTGTTTTATGAATTAACGACAGCCGAATTCACAAGAAAATGAAGATTACTTGGGATGTCAACGCCATAAAACTTGCCTGCTGGGACTAATGTGGCCTTCCACTCAAGGCATCGGAAAGGACATCAGAGCAAGCTCTTAGTTGTTCACTCAAAGGGCGGCCGATGTCATTTCTGAGGCCTTCACTGCGATGACCGGAGACTGCGATGATGAGCTAGCCGCGATGGACCTCAGCACGATCGCAGTCGCTCTGACACCGTCATGATAAGTATGAATTTTAACAGCTATGCCAGTTTGGCTATATTTTTCATCACTGCTGTTTTGTTCTGTTTTATTTTCGATAACGAAACTATATATACTATGCGAGAGTTAGCTGTGTTTGATCTTATTACCGTACTTAAGCTTGCAATCTAACTGAGCATGAAAACCTTGAAAAGTCGAAGTGTCCATTCGTTTCTTCTTTGAGGATTTTCGTCTTTGCTTACGTTATATAGAGGATAATACATGGGCGCGAGTAGATATGGAATTTCTCTTCGAGTGTTAATTCGATAACTCACAAGTGAGCGCAGTGAACGAGTGAGATGTCGAGTTGACCACGAGAAGAATATTTCCATATCTTCAAGCAACCATGCATTATTTTGTTTATCTTATAAACAGAACTGCCTTTTACTGACAATGAAAGTCAACTTTATTGAATGTGAATGGATCGACAATCCCCGGATAAAAATCGCAAAGTGCGTTGACGCTAAGGCTCAACATGAAAAAATGCGTCGGAACACTACAAAAACAAACCATAGACATAAATTACAATACACGAAATTCTCAGTTATTGATTTTGTCCTTACCAACAAAGGAAATTTTTTAGATACAGGGCCAAAATCGGTCTGTGGCAAATCTTTCATTTGTCGTTTTCGTTCTCAGCCTCAAGAATGCCACTACTAAAGCCACCGAATACGTAACTTTCGCTTTTTCTTTCCGTATTTGGTGTTCTTCCCTTTCTAGGAAAGCTTGAACATCACTGTCTGTAAGAGATACGGAGTATTCAGTGTTTTGGCAGCCATAATCCGTTAAAATTCCGACAAACCACTTTATATCGTGAAGGCTTTGCCGTTCATTCATCAACTCGACCGAGTGGCGCTAAAGGCGAGTGACGTGTAAGCAGCTATTGGCGATATCAAACACACGTGAAAAACTACGATATTTTTTCACGTGTGTTGTTACAGCTTTTTTCAGGGCTGGAAATCCTTCTATAACACCGTAGTTTATGTGATAAAATAAGGTAAATTACGGCTCTTGGTATGTTTGTTTGGTTCTTTTGTTGCTACTTTCCAGCTCGCTTGTTACGAAATTTCACCTTCAATTAACAAAAAAAAAGCCAGAGAGAAATCCTGGAAAAGGTCGGACATTATACAATTTGGCAGATGGCGTGACAGCTTTAGCTCAGCTTATGCTTTGTACTCTGATGAAGCACGCTCTTTCAACCAATAACAGCGTGTATTATATCCGAACTCTATTATAGATAGTGATAGATACGTGTAGAGGTAGTCTTCACAAATTACATCCCAACCCGTTGGTGAATTACGTAGTTATTTAGAATAATAAAAAATATAGTTATGTAAAGAAAATACCAATGGTATATAGTGTACCCTCGTAGACTAACAAGCGACAACGCTTTGTACTCTGATACAGCAGGCCCTTTTAACCAAAGACAACACGCGTTATATATTCAAAATTTATTACAGATAAAGATAGATACATGGAGAAAAAGCTTTTAAAAGTTGCACTCCTGCCCGTCAGCTGAATTATTACGAGATAATTTAGACTAATAGGATATAATAATGTATGATAGTTATTTAGACCAACAAGTTATTATAATTTATAATAATATACCAGTGGTATATAGAGGATATTACATGGCCGCTTGGGGATACGAATTTTATCTTCGAGTGCTGAAAGTATCAGCACGAGAAGATAAAATTCGTATCCCCAAGCGGCCATGTAATGTTCTGTTTATTTTATAGATACTGATGAAATTTCTAAATGATAGAAAAGTGCCTGTCACAAAAATGTTATGAAACTCGGATATAAAGTTATGAAGGAGAAATAAAGACGATAATACTTATATTTTTCTCATATTTTCGACATCACTTTCCGAGACTTCGGCAAATCTTCCTGAATGTTCTTCAAGCTTGAAAAAGTATCGATATGAAAATTTGGCAGCTCGTCGAGAAAGTCACCGGTAACTGTACCGTTTTCGCACCTCGAAGCCATTTTGTGAATGAAATTTCAAAAGAACCGGCGGCGCGCCTGAACGGGAAGCTCTCTTTTGATTGGCTAATCATGTTAGTAACCATGGCGACGCCAAATAGTATCTTCGCTGCGCGCGATGAAAATATGACTTTTAAGGAAAAGGAAAAATATTGGTATTTCATCAGTATTTATATATTAATAAGAAGATAAGAATATCAAGTCGGTTTTCGGTGATCACAAGTTCAAAACACAAGGCAGCAACCTAAACGCTCAAGAGTCTTTGGCTCTCACTAAGTGCTTTACAACACAAGCTGACAATACACACCCTTGCTTCACCACTGTTCAGGACAATTCGATGAAATAACTACCTAAAAGTTAAAAAGATTGGTGAGCAAAATGACTGGTTAGATTGACTCCTGATAATATCAGGTATAGCTATTTTATTAAAAAGGAAAAACCTTTTTATGAGGCTTACAAAGAAAACATCGTTAGTTTCGGTTTGTCTTGACGCGTTCCGAAGTCGATATATAACTTAAAAATGACCTCTATTGGCTTTCTCTTTGTTTCTCACTCATAGCGTTCCCTCGCTAAACTAAGCAAGCTATGCGAAGCGCTTGTTTTGTTGCTATGTGACGTCACATTAGCAGTGATTTCTAACTCACGCTTATACCGGAAAATGATAAAGTCACCTCCTCCCTCCTAGGACACACTGACTTTCTGAATTTATCGTCATATGAGTTAAAAATGGACAACGACAGACACCATTTTGAATTATGCTTAACAGCCTGGCTGCTAAACTGTGAATTATGAAAAGTTTCGCTGCTGTTTTTTTCATCGCTTGGCGGTCTGCTTACATAGTTGATAGCACCACAAAAAGGCATTCTCGACTCATATAATCTTTTTTTTGGAAGAACAAAGCAGCAGCCTTTTGAGAAGCTCACAAAATGGTTATGAATTTAAGGCCAGGTTACTATGATGATTTTACAATGGCACCGTTTAAAGTCTAATTTCGGAAAAGTTTGTTCACCCTTTGGCATCTCAAAACGCGGTTGGTTGCGATAATTTGATGCACAATTTATATTGATGAAGATATAGACCTGTCCTTCTGTTCGTTAAAGACCGAGTTTTTCCTGTCGGATGGCCCTCAACGAGGCTCTCAAACTTATCCAAAATACGAATCGAGAAAGCGAGGTTACTAAATCTTTGGGTTCAAACAGAGAGCGATGATTCCGGTCAGAATAAAAATTTGAATTTAGAGGTCTGAACAGTTTAATGAGGCCGGTTAAACTCCCCAATTATGGTGAAAGTACTAACACACATATAATGAATAAAAATATGGATCAGGAAATACTTATCCGGTAAATAAACTGAGTGCAACCGACAAGTAAAAAAATGGTTTAATTCCCAATGTGACAGCAGTTTAGTCGTACTCCTCCTCACGGACATCGCTTTGTTGAGACTCACAGTTCAACAAGTTTATAAACAAACAAAGCAGCTTATAATTTGAATGGGTATAGCATTTCATCCACGGATTGGGTCTACAATAAATAAGAATAGGAAAAATCGATGAATTATAGTTTACCTCTTCACTAACCTCATCAACTACATCTCTGTCTGAAAATCAAAATGAGCGTATGGTTTAATGTGTTGATGCCGTGTTACATTCATGCAATACGTTGTCGAGTTGTTGACATAACCCTCAAGATTCTGCCTAAAATCTTCGAATAAAGTCTGATTTCTGTAAATCAAAGGAGCTTCCTGTCGAATCGTATCGATGTAATCTCTCCACCTTGTGTTTTCGTCCTCTAAAGACCTTGGATATGGACGATGTTTTGGATTTCCCGCAGTAACAGGCGCAAACATCAATGCCTGACCTCGAAATATCAGTTCCACAGCAGAAAACATGTAGATTTGCGATGACCACCAGGTTTTGCTTTCATACTGCGTACGATAAGGGAAGAGATGCTCAATAGATTTGTAATGAAATGCATTGAAAAGAGCATCGAACCATAGTATAGGTAACACAAGGGGACTGTCCCTCTTGTTACATATTTTCTTTCGTAGGTCATTGGTCCAGATGCCCCGATGATGCCATTGGTAATTCACAATGCCAACTGCTGGCTCGTAATCTAGGAGCCATTGTTCGAAGACTCTAAACGGCGGAAGCCTCTTCATTTGTGGAGGAGCAATTGAATGGAAATGCAGAATCACATCATCATCCATAAAAATGTAATAATGGTATTTTGGAGATCTCGTTATGGCAGCAAAATACAGCACATTTCGTCCCGTTCCCCATCCAATATTGGGATAGAACAGATAAGTGATGTGAGGCGACTTTTGCACTTGACATTTGGTACGAAAGCTTAGCACTATGACATCACAGTTACATGTCTCGGGGTCGCCGATCTCGGAAGAAGAGGCAAAGTTTGAAGGAAGGCATTGTTCTGTTTGAGTGAGATAAACGAAAGGTTTTGGCGATGAATTATTTGTGGGTTTTTCTGTGGCTGTAGCTTGAGGAACAACCTTTCGACAGACGATCTCATCTACGATAAACAAAACGTTGTCGTTTATTTTGAAGTGCTCGAAATCAAGTCGGACCTAACCAGAATTATTTAATTCAATACTAGAGAAGGAAATTGATTCAGCGTAGAACTTTGCAAATAGTTAATTATTACGCTTTTTACGTTGTTGTAGTGATTGGGGATCTCTCCAATGAAAAGAACTTCAAGAATGATTACCTTGCTTGGAAAAGAAGAAAAAAGTAAAAAAAAAAAATAAAAAAACTGACAGAGCGCTAGAGCGATCTAAAACCCAAAACACCGGAACAGCCAAGGCTAACTGATCAGGGGCGTGTTCTCTGCAGTAATTACCCATCAACGCCCAGGGTGATCATTGTACGCTAGTTAATTTTGAAAACCAATTTAAAACGATCTTCAGTTTGTTATCTTGAATCGGCGATAATATTACATTGCGAAGGGCTAATTTCTGGTGAACCGTGAAAGGGACAACGCGACGTAAGTAGGCCTGTTAAGCTTTCGGAAGCGTTGTTATTTCCCTAGTTCGAACTAAGTTATGTTACTTTTAATTTCCTTAATATTTGCCTGCGTCTTAATTTAGATTTTGACGGCATAATTCATCGGATGAGTATCTAATGCTGTAAAAATCATTTCCAACTCGTTAACTTACCCATTCTGCTGTTGTTGTGAGTGGGCTGGCTAATTTCTTGTCCAAACTTCACTTCGTATGAGGCGTACATGAGGAAGGTGGTCAAACCAAGGATAAAAATCGAAAAAATGCTAATTTTACCTCTCATTGTAAAGATCATTTTGGTTCTGTTTAGAGTCACCCCTTCATAAACGTTTAAACCTGCGGATAATAAAAACATTTATTCGTGTGGTAGAGAAGGATGCAATCTAATAAAAATCGCGATTTTGAGACGCCATTATTGAATTGTATTGGTGGCTAATCGAGGGATAATATATTGTAGTATTGGGAAGAGTTGTATAGCGACGAAGCTCAATGGCAAGAACAATATATTTTCCAACTAGCTAGCCGCCAATGTAATGTGGTATTGCCGTCTCAAAATTCCGACTGGTTTAATATCGCGATCCACCCGTTACAAACATTATACTAAAAGCTGAGAAATTTCTGAAAAGTAACTGTCTTAGATCACAAAGTATTTTTAACCAAATTTGAAAAACCGTCGAATCTGTATTAAACGACACCGTATCAAGTGGTAACCCTGCATTAAGCGGTCGGTGACCAAAGTCTCAAGAATATTCCCCTTTATCATTGTAATTCGTACCCCTATTAAGCGGACCAATAAGGGATCGTAGTCACCCTCTACTTAATCCCAGGGGCCTGTCTATATTGAACGGTCACTGAAAACCGAACCACCAAAATAAAATTAAGAATCATCTTTCAAGTAATTTTTAATTCATATTTCTCCTCCAAAAACAAAGTAGCATTTTTGAGCGAGATTCTGTATAGTAAGTAGTCACCTAAGGCATAAAGAGGCGTTTTGTACCTTTTTCTATAATACCGCTAATGAGTGGAACCTGTATTTAGCGGTTAACCGGTATCAAGTGGACACCCCATGATTTCGTATTTTTTCACAGGAGTTGTTACGGCTTTTCTCCGGGCTGGAGATCCTTATTCAACACCATAGTTTACATGATGAAATCGTTTCTCTGACGATGTGGTCACTTCGGATGTGTATCGCGACATTTCGACTGTACATATACTGCCAGTCTTCCTCGGCTGATGAAGCTGGCAGTATGCAGTCCAAACGTCACAATCCATATCCGAAGTGATCACATCCGAAGTGACCACATCGGGAGACAAACGATTATATTTCTCTTTTGAGAATTTTTATTTTCTTTTTGTAAGGAATTGTCCCAAGAACAGTTCACACGCAGGGACCTGGATAATTTGGGAGACAAGTTCATGCGACTTCTCTCACGAATTCAAACCAGTTCGAATTCGCGGGACAAGTCACAAGGATTACATTTTGGACCCTACGATCAGACCATCTGATGAAAAATTTAGATAGTAGTTTATTTGCTTAGGGTTACCCTAAGCAAACCCTAAGGGACCTAGTTCCTACGAGTCGCGGGCACTAGTCCTTTCACTTGGTGCCGATCTTAATGTAACCGTTCTACAAAATAACATCAGAGAAAACATCGAACATCCGGTTGTTAAAAGGATGGATAAATTTATCCACTGGATAAGTTCATCCGGTGTATAACATGGTTATCCAGTGGATAAAAAGCTGTTGCAAAAGGCACAGATAGCGCGGCGTATAGTTATCCGACGGCTAAACTCGCTGTACAGGCAGTTGCCATGGTGATTACCCAGGAGTTGCGTGATCTTTTAGCTTGCGCGTGCTAGTGGCGAGACAACATTACAGAATATGTTGCTACTTCCTCGGCAAAGCGCGCTAAAAAACCAAAGCTTACACCTGCCGAATGGACAGTTATTTTCGAAGAGGCGGAAAAATAATATCAAAATAATCAAGAGTAAAATTTCTACGACACTTTCTAACAAACACAAGAGTTGAGTATGTGAGGTAATAACTGACAAAGTCAATGCGTTCGGAGTTTCCAAAAGATCTGTCATGGAAGTGAAAGAAAAGTGGAGAGGAATGGAGAGTGGAGCAAAGAAAGAACACAGCAAATTTACCACTACAAGAAAGAAGACCAGATTCCCCAAAGGCTACCACAGCCAAAATTTTCGAGCTTTTGAAAAAGACCCGTCTTTCAGCGGCATTTCGGGGGGTGTCAATTCTGGTAAGTCCACTTACGTCAATACTGAAATATACTGTCTTAATGAATAGGAGTGTTATATCAAATTCTCTTAAGTAATTTTCAAGGAAATGCACGCACCCCTTTACGGTAGAACTGCTCACAAGAACTAAAGAATTAAAGGGTTCATACATTTTGTACAAATTATGTGCAGCACAAGTTTCAAGCTCATTAATTTATTACTGAGAAATAATTTAGCGCCAAATGTAAGTACACAAGACGCGAGGGTGCTAGTCGATATTACATTTGGCGCTAAAATATTTCTCAGTTTTCGTTAAAATAATAATTGTTTCCTATAATTCATTTCACGTTTTGAGCGTGCTCGGCTTCGCATGACTTGTAATTAAAGATCTTATCTTAGATCACTAGTTGTTTGGGAATCATTAATTAAGCCTGGATAAAGGGCTACCTTTAAAACCAGGAGCGGGAAATGGGAGTATAGGGAATTGGGAATGGGGAATCTTCAAAAGTGGGAATTTTTAAAATGGGAAATCTTTAAAATGAAGAATCTTTAAGAGCGGGAATCTTTAAAACGGAGAATCTTGGAAAGCGTGGAATGAAATCGTCCAAATGTATGAGCGGTCTGTGGAAAAGTTGCTCTTTTTTTCTATTTTACGCCAGTGAATCCTTTTAAAATTCAGGTTTGTTGACATAAGTAAAACTACGCAACAGCGGAAATCCCGCCTCAGGTTGAAGTTTGCTCGACGTAACAATTCTGTTTTTGGTTAATATGGACTAATATCAACTTCACAAAACGGAAAACGCTGTAGATCAGACTATTCATCATAATTGCTAACAGGGCCGATGGCTGACTAATCATTCAGATCAATCAAAAAAATAAATGTTAAGTGCCACTGCCATCCGCCCATTCCCCATTCCGCCATTCCCTATTCCTCTATTCTCCGTTCCTTATTTTAAAGATAGCCCTTGTTTAATGTCTTAGAAGTCGAGTGAGTGGTAACTTAAGCTAAATTATGATCCCGTCGATACCCGTCCTATCGAAACGGAGCACATCGCGGTCTTAATCTCGAAATTTTAGTCTAACAGTCGTGAGCACGGTTTCAAAAGTCAGTGATTTGAAACTTTTGAAAAGTAAGGTTGAAATTCCAGTAAGTAGTTTCACGTAAAAATTTCCACGCGCGCTGTCCTGTTTACGTAAATACGAGTCGCTTACAGTGTTGACATTGAATACAAATGTGCGACATTTCAGGAAATACATCTTTCATAAGAGCAGTTTTGCTTCGATCGTACTTTTTATACACGCTTAGCGTTTCGTGATGATAATCGTCATGACAATTTCATCACACGGTCGTTATTGATTGATAACAATCGAATACGGCGCTGTGTTGACGGTGAGTGGAGTTAGGGCCTTTCTGCACTAGCGACAAAGTTGAAGCGACGACTCGGGACAAATCCTGGAAATTGAATTTGGAATTCTTTGGCAACTGTGCGGGCCGGTCTTGTGAACAGATCAGACGCGGACGAAATTTGAAGGCTTTGAAATTGTTCATACGAATGCAACAGACGAAACAAAAATTTGCTATAACAAAATTGGTCTTTTGACTTTTTCGGGACAATTCTAATTTTGTCCGCTAGTGCGGAAAAGCCCTTATCTTTAACATTATTGGTAATGACTCGTTAAACATTTCAGAAAGTAGAAAAATGGTTTCGCTTCGTCGTACTTTTACATTAGAACAATAGCGACGAGAACGTAAACTTCACCGACAGGAGGTTGGGAAAACGAACTTCGATGCGCATGCCCAATCGAGCACTACTCGTCTTCCACATCTCCTTCAGGACGCCATCTGCTGCCATCTTGTCGTGAACGTGAGTATGTCACTCTTAAGATTCAGGTAAATTGAACGCATAAAATCGTTCGAACAGTAACGATCTTATCTACTACATGCAATCCGCTATCTACAGTAGCGGCGATCTTATCTACTTGTAAACAATGATGGACGCTTAAGGTTAAGGGGACTTGGCGCGAACCGCAAACGACTAAATGGAATCTGATTTTGTTTTTTTGAACCTAAAGTAATCCTTCAAAAGCATTTGGAAAATTTCTCTTGTTCAAGTAAACTGCAAATAATTTCACATAATTTAGCAAGTTTTCAAGTTTTGTCGCTAGTAAACTTTTACGACAGCGACTTCATTGAACTTGATCTTTCCTGATCTTTCTTGATCTTGTTCGCTTTCTGAAGAGGTACTCGGCGGGTCAAAAACTTTTCCCTTTTTCTTCGCAATGCCCTAAAGCCATTTCATAAATACACTGACGCCAAACTCTTCGGGATGAAACCACGTAATCTCACCAACATCGGAATCCCTCATTTGTCATGAATCTAATACACCATTCAAAGTTAAACAAAGGGTAAAAAATTAAAGACTGCCTCATACATACTAATGAGCTTCTTTTGCGCACGTATTTTGAGCACGTTTTCGAAAGTTGCATGCGTGTGCGCGCCTTTTTAATACGCTTTTTGCGTGCATTTTGGGCCAAGTACCTCTGAGCTGTATTGTATATATCTATATTCGTCTAGCGGATTATTCAACATCATTCACTTCACATCAGCAAATGTTTGTTTTAGTATAATTGCTCAGATGCTTGCGAATTCTATAGGAAGATTAATTACCTGACAAGGAAGTTCCGCGTTAAATTGCACGCAAAAACCAATATCGCACAAATCGTGAAGCGGAGAACAGTAATAATATTTTTGGTTTTTACCCTCAGCGCGCGCCCCAGAAAGCCATTTCAAAGTCAACTGTCAGAAGTGTCATTGCATTAGCAAATAGGAAGCCAGGTCAGTCATACGTGTTTGAATCTTCGACAACTTTATTTCTACCTTATGTTTGTTTTTACATTTGTTTACTCACTTTTTAAACAAGCTTCACACTATCTAATGGATAATAGTGCTATTTCACTGAATTTACAAGCCGTTTATCTTTATCTTTAATTTCCAAATCGTTAGCTCAAGAACGAAAATAATATACACCTCTTACCTCTTTGGTGGCAAAACTGAAAGAAATGTGTCCAAGCAAAAGCACTGAAAGTATAACATTGCAATTAAAGGTATTTATTTCTTCTTCTACATATGGCAATCGACCCTGGCACTTCTTCTGTTCTCGTTTCTTCATCTTGTTCAGTTGAACTTTGGCTTGCCATTTTCTGGGGCCGGGTTCACCGGATTTTCTTGCTGTCTCTTATGTGTCTTCAAGAATTTGTAATTCATTTCAAAACAGGGAAGAACCTCTGGCTCACTTTGAAAAACGCTTTTGTTCAAAAGGTGACAATGGTTTTGAAAACGCGTTACAATAACATTGTAGAAAACTGTTACAATTTGACGATAATTCTTATGTTTATGTAGATGCGAAACAATATCACTTAACCTCGTTTTCAACTCTCGATTCCATGCTTCACTTTGTTGACCAATCAGAATGAGTGATTTTACTCAATTATGCGATTCTGTTGTAAATTTGTTTTGTTATTGACAACATTCTGTTACAATTGTTTTGTCCGTTGGTTTGAAGATAATCAGCCAATCTTATTTCATTCAATCAGCAAAAGCTTCACATTGTTATTTTGAAAAGTGTCTCACAAAACTTAGCAGCATCTTTTGTGCCTTCAAAATTTAGTTTTCTTCTATAGTGTTTATGACTTCATCTGCAACATTGAAAGAACGCAAGGCAGCCATTTTGAAATTTAGTGTCCCTGCAATAATCACCTTCTGCGAGATGATTATGAGGGGATACGATGCAATCCTCAACCATAGAGTGCACATCTCTATTATCACTGGGACAATGATATCAAATAAATATATTGAAAACTCACCACATTTTGTAGTAAACACTGGTATCCTTTGGATCCTCAATTTGGGAGTTACTCATTGGGTGACCATTTCACTCCTTTCTAAATCACTTTGTATTTTAGTGCTGCTTTTTATTTATTCATATATTTAGTTATTAAACCATTTTAATCAAATCTTTAGTTGTTTGTAACTTTCATACACTAGGCTTCTTTTTAAAACTGCAAAGTTATGATCTGAGACAGCATCTGCTATAAATATTGCCATAAGTAAATTAAGTGATTGGACAGTTTTCACCCTAAAGTTGTGTTATTCATCTTTGGTGATGTCATCAACAACTATTCACCTCTGAAGTGAGGCAGAAGAAAGTTTATGAATAAATCTTAATCAAATTGCAATGGTTTTGATTATGTCTTGTGAAACTGTTAATATTTGGATTGTTTGCTCAGCTGCCCCATATTTTCAAATCACTGATACACCATTTCCCCGAAAATGTACACAAGCTTAATCACATAATGGTTTTTATTTGGTTTCCTTATATTACTAATACATCAATCAATTGGAATCTTCTATGCCCCCCCCCCCTTTTCCCAGCAGCCCCCCAAGTATTTGAACTTTAAAGATTGGTTTGTTGAAGTTTCCACCCCAAGGAAAAAATTGTGTTCAAATGCCCCCACCAATTTTTGAAAAAGGCAAAATCAGCAAACATGACTTTCTGCACATTGACAAAGCTTTAAAACCTAGACCTTCTATACCTTTTTTTCTGACCATTTTTGCTTGAGGAAGTGAACTTTTTACCTTAAACTATTCCACATTTAAATATATAATTATCCATATTTAGAAAAACAAAGGGCATTACTATGAAATATTTGTACTATTACATGCAATTAAGTTTATAGGTTATTGATCATTCCATATCATACCCCAATGCTTAATGCAGAAATCTTTACTTACAATGGCACTTTTGGTGTAGTCAATACAAATAACAAAATCTTCAGTTATAGGATGCAAATTGATGTTGAAACCAAACTTTAATTTGAAGTCGTTTCCTCACTTTGTGTTCAACAAACTACGTTCAGTGAATAAAAATTACTTGTTGACATCATGGTTTTTCCTTCCTTTCATATATTTGTAATACAAGTGTGACAATGGGCATCTTGCAGTTTACTGTGTTAAGAAATAGCTGATAAATCTACCACTTGAGTTGTGTAAATTCAAGAAATGACCATATCAAATTCCAACTTCCAGAATGCAAACTTTCTAACAATTACCTCCATTCAATGCATTTGTTAAGAAATGCAAATTGTTTGCCTTCCGCTGAAATTTTCCTTTTCCAAGTGCTACAAATATCAGTGCAATTTTTTCTTTATCTTTCGGTGAAATATTAAAGGTCTTAGGCATGTTAGCAAGCATGCCTAATGCCATATTACTTCAATGCCATTATAAAAGGTAGGATATACATTGGACTATTGCAAATAGCCTATAGTGAGTGTCACTATTTCTTTCAAGTGTATACACTCAATTGCAAAAACGCTGACCCCTAGAAAGCACAGCCAATGGCATTATTAATAGTTACACATGTAAATGATAATCATAATTAGTTGTGCGTAGAATATAGAAGCCATTCATACTTTCCTTAAAAAAAAAAGATTTCTCATCATCTAAGATTTCCATGAATCAACAACAACATTTATTATTATTATTTTTAAATACATATCTAACAATCCCTACCCACATAATAGTAAAGCTAATCGAGGCAGGAGGGAAACAATAATAAAAGTAAATTCTACAATAACAAGTTTGACTGAACTGAGGAAATGACTGGGTGAGCCTGCTATGAAGAACAGTTAAGGATAAGTTATAGATAAGCCAATTAGGTGTTACTTATTAAAACTGGAGTAAAATTACAACAACAAATGAGACTAAAAAGATTATAATTTTCAAAATTTGTCAATTAAAGTATGGACAACACATGAGTATTCTCTCCATCCATCAAAATGTTCTGCAGCTGTCTATGCAATAGTCTTCAATCACAGGAAAAAAAATTCATTTTTTATTTTTATTGCTTCTCAAATTGCCTTAGCGATCCAAGGTTTTTCCAGCTGTTTACTGTCACACCTTTATAAAGTTCAGAATGGTGCATGCTTGTTTACCAGCTTATTTAGCTTGTTATAAAAAGTGGAAAAGAACTTAGAGGGATCCTCAGCAGATGGTAATTACTCCCATGTGAGTTCTGACAATTCCTGCAAAAACATTTGCTGAGAGAATTTTGAATAGTCACGGGCTGCCATTTTTCAAGGTTTGGTGGTTTCAGTGGTCGATTTAAGAATGCAAAATTGAGAAAAATGATCAGTGAGATCTGAACCAATATTCCCACTGGCAGTATAATAATCAAATTTGTTTTTAGACCCTTGTCGGTTAATCAATTGTCGGTAAAATAGCATAGCTTTTCAAGCAATTTAAAAATTGCTGAGCGTAATTACAAGTCTTTGACTAAGAATATTTATGTTGATGTCACCAAAGAGGTAGATTGATTTACTAGTGGTACTATATTGATCTAAAGTTTCTTCAAAATATTCTAAGAGGCAGTCAGCAGAATTATGTTGTCTGTAGACAACTCCACAAATAATATTGCTTTTCTTAGTGAATTCAATTTCAAGCCAGTGTCTGAAAAGGCTCATTAGAGGTTTTTTCAATGACTTTGTATCATACATCGTTGTCTTCATACGTTCTACACCTCCAGCAGAAAGAGGCATTGGAACATATTCAAAATTGTAATTTGGTATGGTTGGATTAAAGTCAACATTCTGTCATTAATTCTTGTTTCCATCACTACCAAAACACTAAAATTAATATTTAGTTCGTTTAAAATATGGGTTTGAAGGCTGTCCAAGTTTTTCCTTAGGCTTCATATATAAGTGAATCATGAAAAAGTAAAGCATTGATCATGTATCTATGTGGACATTTCCCATAAAGCCATTGGTTCTCATTGTTCACGAATCATGCTATTTACAGTGTGTCAACATTATTGCAAACAAGTGTATGTTTTAGTATCAGCTACCTGTGTATAAATTTTAAAAAGTTGTAAGCAATGTACTCTCTAACAGCATTACCAGTTTCACAGCCGGGGTACTGGGTGTGAAGGTCAGCAACGCACCCTTCATCATCCATGTCCCTGGTTCTGGTTCCCTTAAGTTGACAGTTGTGGTACATACCCTGTCAGGAGCCATCCTCAATTCTGAGTGTAGCACATGTAATCTCCTCTTCAACAATCCAAAAGATTGCTCTATGGTACATCTTGTGATCTTGTGTGTTCTGTTTAAATGCTCCTCCTAAGGTCTTTTAGGGTTGAGGTACAGGGTCATGAGGAATGGTGAGCATGCATAGCCACTATCCCCAAGTAGCACACCATCTGTGATACAAGTCTCTTTAAGGTTACCCCCTATGGCTGATGTCCAGAAAATATGGCTATCATGAGTTGAACCAGGCCATCTAGCCACAACATCAGTAAACATTCCTGTAAAATTCAATTGTATTCAATACACTACAACTGGTTTTTAATTTTTATGTTTTATGTTATGTAAAAAAAAATTTTTGATGCAACTTAGGTGTATGGTATTTCTGCATGTGTCTTCCTTCCCACAAAATTGTCATAATATGAGCATACACATAGGCCCCAATTTTGGAGCAGTAATCGTGGGATCACGTCATTCATTTTGTCAAAACAATCAGCTACCCTATCCCTAGGCAAATTATCCCTTTCTTAATATGGTAAACTTCAAGGCATTCCTTGGCCATGCTCCGTAATGCTTTGTTCCAGTACTTGAACTAACGCAGACCACTAAAAAAATGTCAATATTGGAGAACACATTTAGTGATCACCAAAGAATATTTTCATTGTTTGTCATGTCACCTTTGGAAGACTCAATACCCCTTTGCAAAAAACAAAATCAATTACACCCGACAGCGATAGAATCAAACGGGTGATCGCGCAGTTCGGAAAGTCAATCATTTTAAATCAATTTCATTCTCTTGTTTACACGGTAAATTGTATCTGCGTGAATCTCGTGATCACATATTTGATCACGTGTTGTGCTCAAGACAGTCTGTCGCACACTGCTCCTAACGTGTCAGAAAAGCGTTATACATTGGATGCGAAATTTCTACGGTTTTCATGCTCATATTTAGGATATCTCCTGTTATTTACATGAGATAGTATGCTCAGTAAAGCTTAGGGTTAAACGAACATGTTGTCCTTTGCTAAATCAATAATCAGAGCTAGACATATTTGCTTACCTCGATGGTCGCAGATTGCCTGGACATTTTGATAGAGTGAAATCCTTTCCGGTTCACGAAGTCTGGCTCATTTTCGTGAGGGGCAGTTATTCTAACGTGGGTACCGTCGATGAACCCAATGGCACAAGGGAAACCACCAACTCGAAATAAACCTTCCTTAAGGTCGTCTCGTTCCGCACTAGTGGACGGAAATCTTACGCAATCGCCTATAACTTTGCAGTTGTGGCTTGAGCCACGCAACACACTACTCGACTGACAGTCGACCCATCAAATCTTAGAAAAGTATCTCCGATCTCCTGCAGATATATATTTTCTAAATATGTAAATGTGATCTCTGAGTACACAGTAGCGATCAGAATATGGACGAAAGTATTTTCAGTACTATTTACATAAATGAGAGCGTCGTATGTTAATTTCAGTGTGCATAGCGTAACGATGTGAGAATGACTATGCACTTAACACCGAGAGCTTATGTCTGTTGATTTTTGACTACATCATAGAAGAGAGGATATTCAATAAAGTACTACGTAGCCTGTGTGTTTGTTAGCGCTCGATGTAAAGTGGTTGTAGATTAAACATTATCACTCGCGAGAGAAACCTGTTGTGGTTTACGCCCTGACCATGAAACGAAATGACCGTCACAACCTCAAACAGCGGCCATTTCATGTTTTTACTACCCGATGGATAGAAATTTATACTACCTACCTAACCATGGATAAGTTTATCTGCTGGATAGCGAGTGGATAGCGCTATCCATACATTGAACAACCGATATGACGCCATGGTTAAAATTTATCCACTGGATAGCGATTTATACAGCGGATAAGTACTTTTCATTCTCTGAACAACCGGGGACAGATCCTAAGAGTGCGACTCAAGCTGACACGGTCCTCAAAAAACGATTTCAACAGCTTTTAAGTTTTTGTACATCGAGTTAAGAGCTTCCTCAAACGAGCTCAATTTATTTTCAGTTTCCATACAGCTTTGTGTGAAACAGTTAAGGTTTAAGATAAAGCCCACAGCTGTAAGCAACATTGAATCTATTACTATAAACCCTTATTAAATAATGCAAGCGAACATCAGATTCTAAGAATTCTTTTGCGATTAAAGCTTGCGCAGAACTCGAAAAAAATCTTTTTAATAGCCTCCAGATTGTTAAACAATGAATGAAAAGCTTCCTTTGAGCCAGCTCGATTCCTTCTCAGTCTTTTATACGGAAACAGTTAAGGTATAGGGCAAGGTTTGCAATAATGAACTAGTCAAACTTATGAAAATATACCTACCTTACAACAGCTAAGAGCGCTTGTGACGTTCTTTATACCTCCACTTTATGATATAGCCTTTCAACGATACAGCCTTATGGTACAGTGGATGAGGCTTCGCACAATCATGCATTATTAATGCCAAGATCGCCCACGGCTTCTGTATATTGACTGTATGCTCTCGACCAATTAAAGTTTTTTATATGCCTGCTTGATAATTAAGTTGTCCTGCAGTTGCATGTCGATTAACGGACGATTCGATTTAAGCCTTGAGTTACTGCATTCCTTTTTTTATTCCAAGCTTTCGCCGATCTACGGCATCGTTTGGGTGTGTTATGAAAACATTCCACTATAAGCAAAATAAAAGCTATGAAGGTGATACGAATAATTGGAATACATAACAAGCGTAGCGATTGTTTCGATATATGAATCTTTTGTCACTTGGCAGCTGCTACACACTAAGTTTAAGGTCACATGTATTAAAATGGCGTCAGGAGAAAAAGTGTAATATTTGAGGATTGTGCACCCTCTTTCGAACACCAGACGCAGAAGGTGCCTTCCTAGTGCTGTTTCCCTCTATTCTTCGTCATTTCAGAATGAATCTTGTGCTCAAAGTGAGAGAAAATGCCGAACGACAACATCAAGTCGGGTGCGCAAATTGCTACGTCATCATCGCCAGTTCCTCGCTCAGGTCAACCTACTACCCCAATTTATCATCAAATTATTACATATAATTATCCGCTACCAATTCTTATGAAGTGCCATGGTGACGTTGCTGGCAACTGGGACTTTTCGACCAGCAATGGAGCGATTTTGAGATAGCAACAGGACTCGATAAGCAAGAAGAATCGGTTCTTTGAGCAACTTTGCCGCGTTCATCGATGGGCAGAGAAGCTTTCTAACTAGAAAATCGACAGGTGTTTAGAAGCCTTGGAAAACTTTAAAGTCACCCCGTCATGAAAGTTTAACCTGGGGATACTAAAAATATTTGCTCCTTTAATAGAAAATATTAGTTCATCACAAAGAGAAGGACGCAACCAAATAAAAATCGCGATTTTAAGACGCCATTATGGAATTGTATTAGTGGCTAATTGAGGGGAAATATATTGTAGTATTGGGAAGAGTCGCATAGCGACGAAGCTCAATAATAATAGCAATAACAATATATTTTTCCCTAACTAGCTAGCCGCCAATGTAATGCGGTATTGGTGTCCCAAACAAATAACGATTCAAAAAAGAAATATTTAGAGACTAATACATTGGCGAGCGTAGATATGGAATTTCTCTTCGAGTGTTTAACTCGATAGCTAACGAGTGAGCGCAGCGAACGAGTGAGATGTCGAGTTGAACACATTTCGCGACATTTCGACAGCATATATACTACCAGTCTTCCTCGCCTGGAGAAGACTAGCAGTATGTAGTCGAAACGTCGCGATCCACATCCGAAGTCACCACAGCGAGAGACAAACGATTATATTTCTCTTAAGAAGTGATTGGATTGCAACGACTTGTCCCACGAACAGTTCGCACGCAGGGACCTGGATAATTTGGGGAGACAAGTCCTTGCGACTTCTCTCACGAATTCAAACTAGTTTGAATTCGCGGGACCAGTCGCAAGGATTTTATTTTGGACCCTACGACTTTTTACCTCTTTTTCGACCATTTTATCGGGAGGGGTACACCATTAGTACTCAGGGAGTGGTGGGATGCAGTCCATCAGTCCTTAGGGAGGGGTGGAAGGCAGACGTTTGTTACTCAGGGAGGGGTGGAAGACGAACTATTAAGTCGACTTGTTCCAGTGCTAAATGACACTCACCGCTTATCACGAATCATTTTTCAGTTGCTTCACGTTTCCCTTTGTGTGGACAGTATATCATTACTATCCTTCTCTTTTCATTGATTTTATCAGACGACAGAGATCACGGAATTTCCGGTCCTTAGCCCTTAACCTAGCAGCATAGAATTCACATGCGCTATCGCAATTTTAACGTTTGCACCTTTACTATAAAAACATTGTTGGTACAGTCGTACAGAGCAATCTTCTCTCTTTTCAGATACTCAGTTTTCCGCCCTAAAGTTAAGTGTCATGTCACGCATTCCACTGTGATGTTTAAAACAGCGCAACTTCAACGCTGGATAATTTTTAACCCTTTAACTCCCATAAGTGACCAAGACAGAACTTCTCTTTACGATATCAATATAATATCAAGCAGATAAGGGATGAGAATAAAGAAAAATATCAACTTGGGAATGATTGGTGGACCCAGTACTAAATTCTCTGAACTAACATTACAAGAATTGTATGGTTGACAGTAAGGAGAATTACAAATTTGATTTGGGAGTTAAAGGGTTAAATGACTGGTTTGCCTTTTGTGGCCTAATTGTACAATTTTCTTTCACATAGCCACAACCGTCATTAAATCCACACAAGTGCAAATTACATTTGCTCTCATTGTCATGAATCACACTATTTACAGTATGTGTCAACATTATTGCAATCAAGTTTATGTTTTAGTTTCAGCCTCCTGTTTAGATATTAAAAAAATTGTAAGCTATGTGCTCTCTAACAGTGTTACCAATTTCACGACCGTGGTACTGGGTGTGAAGGTCACCAGCACATCCTTCATCATCCATGTTACAGTCCTTTGGCTCTGGTTCCCTTAAGTTCACAGTGAGGTTATGCAAAATGCAGCAAGCTACCATTATGGTGCTACCCTGTCAGGAGCCATCCTCACCTCTGAGTGTAGCACATGAAATCTCTTCGACAATCCAAAAGTTTGCTCCATGG